GACCCGCGGGATATTCAACGAGGACCCTGGAGGGGGGAGTAGGAATTGGATGGGACAAGAGACGCAAGAAATGGAGACAAGACAGTATTCTGATCAAGTCTCGTTTATTAGCCAGAAGGTCACAGTTTATATAGACAGCAGGAGGGAATCAGCAGATAATTAAGTATGCAGATGTTTTCTGGGAAAAACCACAGGGCAAATCATTCAGGGAAATGGAACATTTCTCAGCTATCTAAAGCAGAGCAGCAGGTGATCTATGCCTAGGGCTGTGCAAGCAGTAAGAAGGAGAAAATGGCGGAAAGGTCACAGCATTATATCTTTAGTGTGAGAAGGCTATTAGCAGGGCTTCATGACCCTGGGCAGGCAACAGCCGGGCTCCATGGCTCCGGACACTTTCCTTGATGTATGTATGTGGAGAATGACAGAGCTATGGTCCCTCTTTTTCTTTTAAGGATACATCCTATTGGATCAGGGCCCTACCCTTATGAACTCATTTAACCTTAATTACTTCTGTAGTGGCCCTGTCTTTAAATATAGTCAGTCATACAGGGAGTTAGGACTTCAGCATAAGAATTTTGGGAGACACATTCAGTTTATAGCAGACAGAATTGGAAAGGATGAAGATTAGAACGAAGCAAGTGAGGTCAAGTGTATCTGCCTCGCTCCCTCCCTCCCTTCCTTCCATCCATCTGTCCATCTTTTTCTTTCTTTCACATTATTAAAATTACCATTTATCTTGACTACTGACTGCTGAGTTTCTTGGAGCTTCCTTATATTTTACACCTGAGTCAAGTGTCTTTTTCGCCTGACCTTTGTCTTGGCCCTTCTCAGCTATGTTTCCCTGGGTTTATGGTTCACTATGAGTCTTTTTGTAGGTGACTTTCCTATTCTTGAGTTCTTAATTCTGCTTCTTTGTGTATTGTAAATGTCTCCAAGTAATTTTTTCCCCCAAAAGGGTTGAATTTTTCTGAGCCTCTGCAGTGCTGCTGAGCAGGCACATGGTGTGGAGTGTAGTATGGGCCCCGGAGAAGGCTGCCTGGGTTTTAATCTTCATTCTACCACTTACCAGCTCTTTATGCCTGTTTTTTCATCTCTCAAATGGGCATAGTGGTATCTACCTCATGGGGTCGCCATTAGATGAGATGAGTTAGTACATGTGAAGTACGTACAGTAGTCCTGGGCACCTAGCAAGAGCTTAATAAATGTTGGCTATTTTTACTAGAGAGAAGATAATTTGGCTGGGGGTGAGCATGATTCCCCAGCCCCCAACCCCACTCCAAATGTGTAGACTTTTGTTTGCATTCTTCTGTTCATCTCTTCTTTTTCTGGCATTTAGTGTTGTAGCAAAATTGAAGCTTAGCCCGATTTTTTTCCTTCCAGGAAGGTCTAATTTTTCTGCCTACATGATTGGAAAAATTTTCTCTTGATTTTTGTTATTAAAAAATGTTTTCCAAATTCATGAGCTAGGGATCCTATTCTCTCTGTCTACTTTTGTATGTGTTTGAAATTTCAGTAATAAAAAACCTGAGAAAATATCACCAAGCTGTGTCTAGGTGTGAGTTTCTTCCCACTGATTTTGCTGGAATGTGGCGGATCCTTTCAGCAGCCCCTGTAGCTCTCTGTTCAGCTCAGGACCTGCTTACTTACATCATTCTTTATTATTTCTGGTCTGTTGGTCTGGTCTCCCTCCTTCAGGAACACTGATCCTCTAGCTCTTGGATCTCTGTTCTGCACCTTCTCTGTTATGTCCTGTCTCATGATCTTCGCCTGTGTCTTTTGCAGCTGCACACTGGTAGAACTTCCTTATCTCAACACATTGCATGTTTACAGTGTTGACTCTAACTTTTCCTGGTTTCCATGTTAATTTTAATTCTGCTAATACTGATTTAGTTTCTTCGTAATTCCTAGATGCATCCATCTCCCTTTTCACCTCGGCCTGTTTTCTTCTTCTGGCTTTCTGTTATTTCACAGATGGAGCTTTAACCTGTATTGTGTGGAGGATTCACCTTTCCTGGTGTTTACTCTGATACTATGTTAAAAATTTCGGAGACTTTTTCTTCCTCTAAGACTTCCTGAGAATAACGTTCTTTTCCCAAGCGCTGTACAGCCCTTTTCATTCACTCCATGCTAGAATTTTTTCCTTCATTCCCAAATGAGACAGGTCTCTTCAGACTCCTGAAGCCATGATCATTTTTTAGAGCAGCTGGACTGGTCTGAGATGGGCTTCTCCCCTGTGCTCACTCATTGGTTCTTTGAGACTCTGAGTCCATAGAGTGCACAGAGAGCTACATTCCCCAGCATGCACTGCACCTTCCTCGTCCTGTCCGGGCCTTTGTCTTTCCCAGGATGCAGTGCACCCTGGTGGGGCAAGACTCTGCCCCCACCTCGTGTGTCCCACTTACCATCTCTGCATGATGGTGGCATGGAGGGGAGGGAGTACTGGGGGAGCATTGCCCTGGGTGCCTGGGCAGGCAGCTCTCATTTTTTCCCCTAGTGCTTTTTAAGATTTTCTAACTACTCTAAAGGACGTTTACTACTTGTGTAGTAAAATAAAAAAATTGTAAAGTGGTACCCAGTATTTATGGAACAGCTGCCCAGTGTTTAAGATCTGAATCTAATTCCAGGTCTCTGAGGCAGGAGTGGGTCAGCAGGACAGGTAAGAAACGTCTATCCTTCTCTTATTCTCGTTTCTCAAATCCTGGTTGGTTTTCTTAGTCCAGCTGCATCTGCCTTATTATTTATGGAGATTCCTCTCACATTCTGGTGTTAGCTTATCCTTCAGCCATTGGTTTTAGTGTTATGAGTTTTTCACCTTTTTAAAAATGATGTCAAGGGCTGCTATATAAATGCCTTTTTGCCATTAAAAAAAATTGTGGTCAAATACATTTAACGTAAAACTTTCCATCTTAACCATTTTTATGTGTACATTTCAGTAGTGTTAAGCACGTTCTCATTGTTGTGTGACCGGTCTCCAAAACTCTTCATCGTGTAGAACTGAAGCTCTGTAACCCACTACACAATAACGCTCCATTTTCTCCCCTTCACTCCTCAACCCTTGGTACCCACCATTCTACTTTCTGTCTCTTTTTGCCATTTTTTATTTTTTAGAAAGCTATAAATTCACTGTTCCTGAAATTTACTATCTCAATAGTCACCTATTTGTTCAGCACATGTTACAATAACGCCCCATTTTCTCCCCTTCACTCCTCAACCCTTGGCACCCACCATTCTACTTTCTGTCTCTTTTTGCCATTTTTTATTTTTTAGAAAACTATAAATTCACTGTTCCTGAAATTTACTATCTCAATAGTCACCTATTTGTTCAGCACATGTGCACTGAGTGCACTCTTTGTCAGACCATGTTCTAGGCTCTGGGGACACAGCAGTGAGAAAGGGCAGTATGGTCCCTGCCCCTAGGAGCTGACATTCTGGGGAGGAGAGAGATGATAGGTAAATGAGTGAGCTGAACGGGTTCAGATAGTGCTAAGACCTGTGAAGACAGTCAACAGAGTGATGTGTGGCAGGAGTGCCTTTGGGCGCTGCTTTGGCCTAGGAGGTCCCAGAAAGCCTCTCTGAGCAAGTGATGTTTAGCTGACCCCTGGGTTTGCGCAGGAGGCCTCCTCCCTCCATGTGAAGGACTAGAGGATCTGCACTCTGGAGAGAAGTGATGCACAAAGCTCTAAGACTGTTGATGAACTTGGCTCATCTGAGGAACAGAGAAAAAGACCACGAGGCTTGGGCATAGTGAGCAGCGAGAAGAGGAGCGTGGAATGAGGCTGGGCAAGTGCTCGGCTCTGGCGCTGCAGAGGAAAGCCAGGAGGTTTAGATTTTATTCCAGCTGTAGTAAGAAGCCACTTGAAGCTTTGAAGCAGCAAAGTTATGTGATCTAACACTTGACATTAAAAAAGCCTTTTGCATCAAAATGTAGATGGGTTAGATAACACCGTGCACAGCCACACACATGCATAAGCACATCTGCCTCTGTTATTTTGCTTCTGTCAACCAGATTCCCTTGGGATGTTAAAAGTGTGGGATACTTATAGATTTTTTTCTTTGAGTAGCTCTAGTGAAAAGGCTGATGAATATGATTACTTTGTGAATGGAACATCTGAGACCCTGAAAGGTTGAGTTCTAATTCACATGAGTCTGTTTCTACCTTTTATCATTTATACCTGCTTGTAGACTGAGAACAGAATTTCCAGAGTAAATCAGCTAAGTTTGAAACCTATGTATTCTAATGACAGAATTGCTATGGGGGAAAGAAATCTACCTCTGATTACTCCTGTCCCCATTAGTAAGCATATCAAAATATGCTGTAATAATAAGTGGCCCTTAAAAAAAACAGTATTAGAGTAGAAAGTCTTCTGTGGCGCCCCCCCCCCCCACCGGAGTTGAGGGAGGATTAGAAAAATGCTTTTAGTTTGCCAGGTTAGTATTTATAAAGGTGTTTCTTTCTAGAATGGGATGAATACGTCTGTTCTTAGTGATGGGCTTCCTGACACCTGCCGTACCTAGCCAGCCAGGTCTGAAGGCGCGTTAACCTGCAGGCATCTTTTTTGAGCCTTAGTCATTAGGTCAGTTAGCATTCAAACCACATTTTCGGCAGCCTGTTTTTGATAAAATCTGACTTTTGGTTTTTATTGTAAATATTTAAAAATATTTTTTAAAAGTTAAAAAGTAAGAAAAACACCTTTATCTGACTTCGGTAAAATGGGAATTGTTTTTGTCTAGGGTTGCAGAGATAAACAGCTTGTGATGATTCTGATCCTTACAGAAACTAGTTGATAAATAGATGATCAGAATTTACACTTGGTACCTGTATTAATCCATTTCTGTTGTATAACAGAATACCTGGAACTGTGGGTGATTTATAAGAAAACGGAATTTATTGCTTACAGTTTCAGAGGCTGAGAAGTCCGAAGTCCAGGGAACACATCTGGTGAGGGTCTTCTTCGGTGGTGGCTTTACAGCAGTGCAGGGGTCTCACATGGCAGAAAATGCCAGAGCAGAGAGAGAAACTCTCATATGTTCTCCTTTTGAAGCCCTCAGAACCACACCCCTGACCATCGTTATTAATCCACTCACTACTGCACGGTCCTATAATCTAATCACCTCTTCAAGGCCCCACCTTTCAATCACCATAATAGGATTTCCTGCCTCAGCAGTTAAAGTGGGGATTAAGCTTCTAATACATGAACTTTGGGGGACACAATTCAATCAGTCCACAGCAGCACCTCATTGAAAACAAGACCCACTATGTATTGCATCGGGCCCATTTTAGGTAGGTCTCCTTGTACAGTGAGGTACAAATAGATCGTGAGCTATGAACGTTTTCTTTGGAAAATATTTGGCATCATTCTAGGTCTTTATTTCAGAAAACATCCTGGGATGGCATGGGCCCAAGTCACATTCCACAGAGCAGCTGAAAAATGGGACACTTGGCTCTTTGCCATCAGCCAGTGCCAACATAACCTGGGCGATTTTACCAAACTCCACTGAAGATGAAGCGACCTTAACAGAGCCAGAGGTAAGCTAGCAGTCTTCTCTTAGTGCATTCATGGCATGTGTGATGGCTTGTTCAATATTATAGTAATTATATTTGTAACTTGCTCATCTCTTTGTTTTAAGAGGAGACAAATTATAAAACGGAGCAATTGCCTGGAAAGACAAAATCAGCTGTGGCCTGCCTGGCACTTCTCTTGTTCTTGTGTCTAGCAGCTGCCATGGGTGAATTGTAAGCCTATGAATGAAGACTCTCCTATTTCCATTGAAATGGGAGTCATTTTAACTTCAAGTGGGAGAAATTCTAACAGACCCATTAAAATGATGCCTGTTGAGATGATGGGAGCAGTTACAATATATCATGTTGCTCCCCTGAATAATGGCTTCGTGGTGTGGCTTGTGCTAATACAAGCTCCTGCCACACATGCTCGACTCCTGCATGCTACTCAACCAGGCCAGGACCTGGGGGGCAGTGGTAAAGCTCCTGCAGGCAGTGTGCTGCAGCTTGGGTTCAGGCTGCAGAGGGTAGTTTCCCTTCCTTGTCAAGGAGGAGGAGCAACCCTGGCAGATCCTGATGACCAGCCGGGCTCTGACAGGCTTCGTGGACCATCATCTGCCCTCTTGGCCCAGCTCTCCTAACTCTGCCTCTAAGTGGCATCTGGAAGGGAGCCAAGTACAGCATTTCCGTTTGCCCATTTTCCTTTGTGTCATGAATGAATTTTTGTTTTTGTTTTTCTTTTGATGCACATGTCCTCTTGATATGGTCTTTTGAACTGGGTTGAGACCTACTTTACCCATATTAGAGGTTATTCTTAATTTCCATTGAAATCGTTTATAGCCTGAAGATGGTAGGCCACTCACAAAATCGATTTTGTAATGTTGAAAGCCCCAAGGCAGCTTCTTCGTTCAAATGGTCTTGGTTATCAATTGAAATTTTTCTCCAAGCTTCACATGATTTTATTCTCTGACAGTGACGTAGTAGCAAAGCTCTTGTAAAGGCAGTATCATTCTGCCTACAGATCTTTCATTAGCTTTTTTAAGGTGCCTTAGCAATGTATGAAACAAATAGGGGATGGGAATTTTTGAAAGGCATTTGGCTTCTACCTGTACTAGGAGTTTCAGGCTGGAAAAACCATGCTGCTGCTGATGTGTAAGTGGATTGGAAGGTAAGTCGGCGACTGTGTCAGTGGGAGCAGCCCTGCGGTCCTGTTGTTCATTTGGGAGACTGGGTGGCTTGACATTTGAGGATGGGGTGTCTAACTGCTAACGGGTTGAAGAAACTATAACATCCATCAATCTCTTGGGAGAGAACTTTTGGGGGTTTATTCCGTAATGAACATGTTTAAAAAGTCTTGCTCTAGAGGGAAATTAAAAGAGTAAGAAGGTGAGTTATTAGATCTTTAATAATCATCTTTTAGATCCTCATTGCTGGCAGCATTCTTGGGGCCATACCCTAATAAACTTACTTATTAGAGCTGGTGATATCCCTTACTCTGTGAATCCTTAGTGTTTCTTCTGCTTTCCCCTGATAGGTGCTTCCTCTGACCCTAAAGTTTGAGAGGCCATGTCTGTTGTTTTTACATAAAATTGTTGCCCACTTTGCCTCATCAGTTAGTAGCATTGGCAGAAAATAGTGTATAATCGCCCGTGAGAAATAACTAGCTCCCAAGTGCAACTTTTTAGAAATACCCTGAAGGAGAAGAACTAGGCACTTTGCCTCATCAGTTAGTAGCATTGGCAGAAAATAGTGTATAATCGCCCATGAGAAATAACTAGCTCCCAAGTGCAACTTTTTAGAAATACCCTGAAGGAGAAGAACTAGGCAGAGCTTTTTTTGTTGTTAGGAACAAGCATTAATTTCCGGTTGTCATTTTTGCCTGAGCAATCTAAGATATTGTTGGATGATTCCTCACAGCAGTGAGAGACCTATGGGGTGGGATGGTGCTTTGATGATTTTCTGAGAAGGGAGATGTAGAGTTATTTTGCAAAGACTCCCCTCATTTTCTGCAGTGACAACTCTGGTAGATGATTATCAAAACCCAAACAGCTGGTGTTGGTTGGACCCTGTTTTTCTTTTTAGGCCATTGTGCTTTGTTGCATTTTTGGTCTTAATAGATAGAGAAGCTAGCAATATCCACCCAATAATTTTTCTGTCTGGGAAAGGAAAATGTTTCCATTGCCTCCCTTCTGTACAGTTTGAAGAAATAAGAAGGAATGAATTGAAATTCCTTCATTCTAAAAGCCTAAAAATTCCTTAGGAGATGGTTAACTCTTTTGACATAGAGAATATAGTTCCTTCTGTGAGCAATCATTGGGGAACTAATTTTAGGAATTATGGTTATTGTGGTACTTTAGCTAAATAAACTGTTTTCTTCTAGTTTATTGTTTTGATCATGTTAGGTCTTTGGCGGTAACAATTAGGATACAAAAGGTACCTCCCTCCACTGCTTCTGGTGTACCATAAAATAACTTATATCTGGAAAAATAGTGCATTTTCAAACTTTGTTTAATTCCCAGCAGGATAAAAGCTCACAGAGCAGTGTGTATTTAATACATAAGTTAGAAGAGAACTGTGGTTGGCTCTGTTATCAAATGCAGTGACCTTAAAATTTTATTCTCCTGGGGCTAGAACTAGACTAAATGTGAAAACAAAATATTCTTCCATAATGAAATGACTTAGGATTGTGGTTTCACCCATTAAAATTACTTTTTTGACTCTCTAACACCATTTGAAGTTTGTTTAGACAGAAAAAGTTTTTTGTTAAGCTTTCTTTGTTAAATATGCCTTGTTTTAGGATAAGAAGGATGGTGTTTGAGGTAGAACCAGCTCTTGACCTTCATTGCACCCTCGTGATTGGAAAGATTGGAAATCTGACAACTCCAGGTCCCAGACTTTCTCTCAGTCAGGTTTCTAAATGCATAGCAGGGAGATGCATTTGTGTGGGTTTTGGAAGATCAAGTTCCTTCTGCTGGCAGGCAAGGTCATGGAAGGCAGGGTGTTTAGAGACAATTGCAGTGGCCAGACTCTATTGTTCTCAGGCCATAGTCCCACCTGCCTGGGTGTGCAAAGCTGTTTTGGTGGCAGCAGTGATAGCTTCCTGAACTTTGGATCCTGGCTACTCACAATGCTGTGTCTTTGAATCCAGAAGTCTAAGGGGTCTGTGACTTCTGTTCCTCCAGCTCTTTCAATGATTCTGTAAGCACCTATTTCCCTTATCAAATCCCTTTCTGTTGAAATACCTGGAGTGGTTTCTGTTTCCTGCACTGTACCAAGAATGGTTGGGCTGCTGGCACAGGAGAGCACAGTGCCATTAGGAGACCCATTCTGAATGACAGAGCTCACATGTGACCATGCATTCCCACCTTCCTGGAGAATGTATCTGAGGGACAACATCTTAAATTTTTAAAAAAATTCAGGTTTATTGAGGCATAATTCACAAACAATGTAATTCCCTTTTTTAAAATGCAATTTTATCAAATTTTTTTTCCTTTTTGTCTTTTTTCACTGACCGGNTGCTTCCTCTGACCCTAAAGTTTGAGAGGCCATGTCTGTTGTTTTTACATAAAATTGTTGCCACTTTGCCTCATCAGTTAGTAGCATTGGCAGAAAATAGTGTATAATCGCCCATGAGAAATAACTAGCTCCCAAGTGCAACTTTTTAGAAATACCCTGAAGGAGAAGAACTAGGCAGAGCTTTTTTTGTTGTTAGGAACAAGCATTAATTTCCGGTTGTCATTTTTGCCTGAGCAATCTAAGATATTGTTGGATGATTCCTCACAGCAGTGAGAGACCTATGGGGTGGGATGGTGCTTTGATGATTTTCTGAGAAGGGAGATGTAGAGTTATTTTGCAAAGACTCCCCTCATTTTCTGCAGTGACAACTCTGGTAGATGATTATCAAAACCCAAACAGCTGGTGTTGGTTGGACCCTGTTTTTCTTTTTAGGCCATTGTGCTTTGTTGCATTTTTGGTCTTAATAGATAGAGAAGCTAGCAATATCCACCCAATAATTTTTCTGTCTGGGAAAGGAAAATGTTTCCATTGCCTCCCTTCTGTACAGTTTGAAGAAATAAGAAGGAATGAATTGAAATTCCTTCATTCTAAAAGCCTAAAAATTCCTTAGGAGATGGTTAACTCTTTTGACATAGAGAATATAGTTCCTTCTGTGAGCAATCATTGGGGAACTAATTTTAGGAATTATGGTTATTGTGGTACTTTAGCTAAATAAACTGTTTTCTTCTAGTTTATTGTTTTGATCATGTTAGGTCTTTGGCGGTAACAATTAGGATACAAAAGGTACCTCCCTCCACTGCTTCTGGTGTACCATAAAATAACTTATATCTGGAAAAATAGTGCATTTTCAAACTTTGTTTAATTCCCAGCAGGATAAAAGCTCACAGAGCAGTGTGTATTTAATACATAAGTTAGAAGAGAACTGTGGTTGGCTCTGTTATCAAATGCAGTGACCTTAAAATTTTATTCTCCTGGGGCTAGAACTAGACTAAATGTGAAAACAAAATATTCTTCCATAATGAAATGACTTAGGATTGTGGTTTCACCCATTAAAATTACTTTTTTGACTCTCTAACACCATTTGAAGTTTGTTTAGACAGAAAAAGTTTTTTGTTAAGCTTTCTTTGTTAAATATGCCTTGTTTTAGGATAAGAAGGATGGTGTTTGAGGTAGAACCAGCTCTTGACCTTCATTGCACCCTCGTGATTGGAAAGATTGGAAATCTGACAACTCCAGGTCCCAGACTTTCTCTCAGTCAGGTTTCTAAATGCATAGCAGGGAGATGCATTTGTGTGGGTTTTGGAAGATCAAGTTCCTTCTGCTGGCAGGCAAGGTCATGGAAGGCAGGGTGTTTAGAGACAATTGCAGTGGCCAGACTCTATTGTTCTCAGGCCATAGTCCCACCTGCCTGGGTGTGCAAAGCTGTTTTGGTGGCAGCAGTGATAGCTTCCTGAACTTTGGATCCTGGCTACTCACAATGCTGTGTCTTTGAATCCAGAAGTCTAAGGGGTCTGTGACTTCTGTTCCTCCAGCTCTTTCAATGATTCTGTAAGCACCTATTTCCCTTATCAAATCCCTTTCTGTTGAAATACCTGGAGTGGTTTCTGTTTCCTGCACTGTACCAAGAATGGTTGGGCTGCTGGCACAGGAGAGCACAGTGCCATTAGGAGACCCATTCTGAATGACAGAGCTCACATGTGACCATGCATTCCCACCTTCCTGGAGAATGTATCTGAGGGACAACATCTTAAATTTTTAAAAAAATTCAGGTTTATTGAGGCATAATTCACAAACAATGTAATTCCCTTTTTTAAAATGCAATTTTATCAATTTTTTTTCCTTTTTGTCTTTTTTCACTGACCGGTAACGGGATTGCAACCCTCGGTGTTGTGCCCGCACCGGGGACCAGCAACGGGATCGCAACCCTCGGTGTTGCACCCACACCGCGCTCAGCCAGTGAGCAGGAACCGGTCTCCACATGGGATCCGAACCCTCGGCGGGAGCGCCGCCACACTCCCAAGCGGCACACTCTCCAGTGCGCCACCAGGCCGGCCTGCAATTTTATCAATTTTAACACATCAAAGTATAGAACAGCTCTATCCTACAGCACTGCCCCAGTTCCCTA